CATCCACTTTCTTCCTCGGGCGGTTTCCCATCAGCCTTTCTGATCTGTGCCAATTTCCCCAGGCTTCTCCCTCTTCCAAGCACTGGGAAAAATTCCCTTCAGCTCTTCCCACAAAGGTCCCCTGTGGTTCCACTTCCTCATGATGATTCCCCTCCTCGTTCTCACTCCCTCGCTCAGCACCTGCTGGGAGAGACACAATCCAGACAAGAGTCATTGTGCTGGGGAGAAAGAGGAATAGCACAGAGGGAAAACCCAACATGCTAACACTGTGAAGACTGAGCAATTGGATTCTGCCTCCACATCCCACCCAAACATTCACAGAGAAGAAAAGTTGGGAAGGAAACTCCTGCAGCTAACAGGATGCCTGGAAAGCCGTGAGCGATATCTGCTGACTACAGCCCTGCCCTGGGTGAGACAAGGAAGAACTGAGGGCACTTGCTCACACCACATTTTTGGGATTCTCAACTTCTTCCTTCCTTCACCAGATGGTTTCTGTGTCAGGCCTCACCTGTGCGGGCGCCTCTCGGGATCTCTGTTTCCTCGCAGGCCTGGAGATCGGGCACCCACGGCTCTTCCCCTCGTTCCAGCTGGGCGATCAGCTCAGGTTTGGGAAGGGGAAATCCTGCGCAGGGGATGAAATCAGACCAGATCAGGGTGCATGGAGGATTGAGAGCATCTGTCATAAAGGGCATTCTGTGAACCGAACCTGTGGCTGTGCTGGGGGATCGTGCAATCCAAGAGGACGGGAACATGGTCACAGAGCCCCCTTGGGAGAGGCAGACATCTGGGGAGAATTGCGACGCCCTTACTAGGAGTTCCCAGGATCTGTGCACTCTGGGGGCCTTGCTGACGCACACTCAGCTCTAATGTTAAACCCCTGCCTATTTCTAAACCTGCAGAGCACCAAGCCCTCCCCATGGCTGGAGCTGGTCCCAAGGAGGGAGGTGACCGGGGGATTCTGTGTGCGAATGAGAAACATCACGGACAGGACAATACATGGCTTCTCCCCCTTTGAAAGCTGGAGGGGTTAGCACAGAGGTGGGCAAACTACGGCCCATGGGCTACACCCGGCCCACGGGACCCTCCTGCCCGGCCCCTGAGCTCCTGGCCCGGGAGGCTGGCCCACGGCCCCTCCCCTGCTGTTCCCTCTCCCCCTAAGCCTCAGCTCACTGTGCCACCGGCGCAATGCTCTAGGGGGCGGGGCTGCGAACTCTTGACAGCAGCACAGCTGCAGAGCCGGGGCCTGACCCGGTGCCCTGTGCTGCGCGGGGGCGTGGCTGGCTCCAGTCGGGCGGCACGGCTACCTGTCCTGGTGCTCCAGGCAGCATGGTAAGGGGGCAGGGAGTGGGGAGGTTGGATAGAGGGCAGGGGAGTTTAGGGTGGTGATCAGGGGGTGGGGATGTGGATAGGGGTCATGGCGGTCAGAGGGCGGGGAACAGGGGGGTTGAATGGGGGCAGGCGTCCCGGGAGAGGGGGGAGTCAGGAATGAGAGGAGGGGTTGGATGGGGTGGCAGGGGGCAGTCAGGGGACAGGGAGGGGTGGATGGGGTAGGGGTCCTGGGGGGGGCCATAAGAGGACAGGGAACAGGGCAGGTTGGATGGGGCAGGAGTCCCTGGGGGGGGTCGGATGGGGGTGGGGCTGGGCCATGCCTGGCTGTTTGGGGAGGCACAGCCTCCCCTAACCAGCCTTCCATACAATTTCGGAAACCCGATGTGGCCCTCAGGTCAAAAAGTTTGCCCACCTCTGGTTTAGCTGGTCCATTAGGCTGGTTCCATTGGAGGGGGTATGGAGATGCAAGTCTCTCTCACATGGCAACTGTGCATTATAGACCCCAATCCCCTCCATAGAGTCATAGACTTTAAGGTCAGAAGGGACC